CTGCTTCAACTCCTGTGAGCCCAAGCAATGCTGTGATTCTCTTGAAGCCTCCAAGTTTGTGATATATTCAAATAAAGCATTCTTATTCTGTTTGAAATATGCAGCTCCTTGGGACTATAAAAAGTTATCTTGACTTAATTTTCCTCTTGCTTGTTCTTTGCCAAAAGGCAGCACCGTTATCACTCACTCATGCATTAAAGTGCATTTTTTAACCAAAAACCAAAAAATAATAGTAGAAAGACTACAGTGGGAAAGCAGCGTCATGTGGAAAAATCAAACAATGTGAATTAATACATTCTTTGTGGGCTGGAGGAAGCAATGGAGTCAAGGAAGGCCTTTGGATGTTATGTTTTACAATACCTCTGGAGGCCCAAGCCCCACTACAGGCTGTTTTCTTCCTGCCTCTGGACAAGCTGAAATTACCTGGTAATAACACACAATTAAAAGCGCATGTGTATGTCTGTGAGAGGGTGTGTTACTTTGCTCTAATTCCACTCCTTCTGTGCATTTTAACTTTCAAACTTAGACAGCAGTGAAGAGGAGACAGACAGGTATACATAGCAGCCACATCAAAATCTTGGTGGGGCAGGGGGAACATTTGACACCTCCTTGTTTCAATGCCCCCTGTCTGTTTTTAATTTCACTAAATCGCTCCCGTCTGGGGATTGTATATTTTCAGTGGCCTCTCCCAGCAATGCAGAGGTGGAGTGTAAGTGTGCCAAACCCGAGCTATGCTCAGGCTCAGGGCTGCACATTTACAGGAGGCAAGAAGGGAGGCAGCTCATGGGACCAGCCATTCACCCAACTTAGGTCTGAAAGTGATGCCGAGAAATTTCACTTGCCCTTTTGCCTTTATAGTCACCTTATGAGGGAAGAGGTGGATGACTCAAGTAACAAACTGGCTAATAGCCTTCTGACACTCTGGCTTTGAAAGTATCATGAAAGGTTTGTGTGTGTGAAAAGTCTCCTGTTATGAGGGAATACTGTACTGCAGTTGCTGCTCCAGATAATAAGGATTGTGTTGGCTTGGTTAGGGGGTTTGCTTGGTTTTTAAGAGGCAAGCAGGATCTGGTTCTGAGCACTTCCAGGGAAAAGAATGGCTTGTAAAGGCAATTTGAGGAGGATTTCACTGGACAGCTGTAGGCACAGTGGAGCCTGGGCTCCAGGTCCATTGCCATGAAGGCAAGTGGAAGTTTAGATCCTAGTTTTGTTGAGAGAAAAGTTCTGGCCCAACACAGAAAACTTGTGCAATCTTGGAAGGATTTGCCTCATAGCAGCAAGAAGGCAACACTGAATAAGGAAAAAAAAAGAAGAGCTCCTTCGCTGCTCTAAAGCTGGATATCACTGTCATGGGGTACATGGGCTACTACCCTACATCCTTCTTCCTGTGAGCATCTCACCAGAGCAATCCCCTCACAGACATCGAATAATGCACATTGCAAATGCTTGTGCCTGAGCAGAAGCCCTTAATGTAAGAATATGTCAGAATGTAAAGCAAAGACATTGTCTCTGGTATTAGTTTGCACACCTCCAATGCCTTCTTCTGCTTGTCTATTGATAGGGGCATGGAACACGGGTAGTGTGAAGCTCTGGTCAGACTCCAGGCCAGTGTGGCTGCTGGGAGGGCTACAGAACTCTGCCTCTAAGGAGCCATGGGGCTAAAATAACCCTCAAGAGAAAGCCAGACAAGGCACAGCATGAACTACTTTGGCCCACTGTAGATCGTCCTGAAAGGAGCAGGATTTGGCAGAAATACAATGAGGAAACCAAGGTGGTAATAGGGTGCTTTGAGAAAGCCCATTGTGCCATTGCATGGCCCTGAGGATGCAATGAATGAGTTACACAATAAGCTGGTAAGAGCATGAAAAGACAAGATACCTAAGCCACTTCCACTAGAGCTTCATTACATTTAAGCACACGTCTTTGAGATCGGATTTTTTCCTCCCCTTCACTCGCTGAGTTCTCTGAGAATTGAGCATTACAGTGGCTTTGACTGTAACCATTATAATAATTTTCCAGTGCTAATGTTGTGGTTTTAATGAAAGGAAACAGCAAATGGTGTATCGACTCATATACACAAATCTGCACTTCATTTGCACAAAATAGCTTCTGGATGGCTTTCCTCCATGTTTTTGGTCAAAGCCACTCTTTTTGAGAAATGATCAATGTCTACACTGTTTGCTCTTCCACAGATAAAGCAGATGCTATTCATTACTGCCTTTGCCATGCATATATTGCTACTTTCCCCAAAGCAGCCGCAGTGGGTCATGTGTTTATTTTTCTTTAAATCCTTTTGTTCTTAAATCACTCCGCTTTTGCTTTCAGGATATGATGAATGATTAATGCTCTAGTAGCAGCATTACTGAATTAGGAAAGTCACTGGCAGCTTCCAAAATCATTCAGACAACCAACAAATAAATATAAGCCACTTCTTAAGAGTTAGATGTAGTGAAGCAGTGTGATGGTGTCAAGATAAGAAGAGGTGAGGCTGTCATGAGTACTTTTAAAGCTGCAGGATACACTTATTGTTGCTCCCATGTTTATCATAGCAGTTCTGATAACAGTGCAGATGTTTTGAACAATTTGCATTGGAGTAAGATAACTGCAATAAAGAAAAATGCTAAGGAACCCTCAGAACTGGTGTGGGTACTTGGAGGGAATTCTGTTGTATAAGAAGTTACATGATCATGAAAAAAGGAACTATTCATGGGTTTATGGTTTGGGTTTAGTCAAAGAATAGAGATTTGGAGTCAGATGTTGAAAGGTAGGTGTTCAGCACCTCATAGGAATTACAGCCAACAGCAGGAAAGGAGATTATAGATTTTTGGACTAACCCTTTGCAATTACCACTGGAATAGGCAAGCAGAGCTAGACTACTGTTTGTAGTGATCCAAGACCATGTGGTATGGTAATATTCCAGTTAAATGGGAGTTTGTGTGAAACAGGAGGGCAGGATTAAATTAATTTTCTTACATTTATACACAGATGGTTCTCTACTGGCTTCCTAGCAAGGCCCATCATTTGATGTGACCCTGCCTCTCATGTATTTCATCACAGCACCACAGTGGACAGAACAGCCAGTGTGGTCAGGCAAAGGTTCTAAAGGCCACTGAGCCTTTACAACTCCTTTACATAGAAGTGAAGGACTGAAGAGACTATGGAATGGTGAGAAATAAGCCCTAGCATCTCCAACTGCCTCAGTCTGCAATCTGAAAAGAAGAACCTCTGTGGGTATGGCATGTTGTTTGACAGCAGTAATTATCATGGCTTTCCTCCCCTGGGGCAGTCCCTGAGCACACTGAAGGCCTGCCTTATTCTTCTCCCTGCACCTCTATTTAGGATTTCTGTAGATATCAAGAGACTCATGCTAGTTACTTCTGTGTATTCCTGAAAAAAAGGGCACCTTTATTGAGTGCTATAGTGCTATATACTTTCCTGGCCTTAAAATCTTTTTTTATTTTTCACCGAACTGTCCCTGATTAGAGCTAGGTAGGAAAAATGGTTTTCCTGCAGAGTGGAAGATCTCACAATTCCAAGTGGTCTCACTGCTTTCTACTTCAGGATGCTACTGAGTCCTTTCAAATAGGGCCTGCTCTGAGCAGTCAATAGAGAATAAGACTATCACTGGAGCCATTGAAGAACTGGGTAAAAAAATATTTCTATAAAGAAAATGAAATACAGGAAAAAAAAAATCTGTGGTAGTCCAGGATGATCTCAGTGTGCTGGAAGAGGGCGGGATGCTTTTGCTCATTTCCATTATAGTTTCACTATACACAAGCAATGACATGTCAGCCTGAGAAGAGACCTGGACTTCCATCTGCTCTTCTCAGCATGGTAATGTAATTCCTGGACTGCCAACTCGGGCTTTTTCACTCTTGCCTAATGAAAGCTTTGGAACCTATGCAAATTGGAACATCTCCAACAGGAGAAGCTCTCATTTTGAAGCAGAATGCAGCCCAGAACCCACTGAGACTGTGGGGTGCTGACTTCCATGTCCCTGGGTCATCTTAAAGAGATTATAGTCCTACATGTGGTCTGACGTTTTGAATCTGAATATCTGATCCAGAGAGTTCTGGCTGCCCTGAGACAACAAATGAAAGTCTTTTACTTGGATGAGAAACTCATTGAACTTATAACCACCTTCCCTTTGAAAGTTCTGTCTTTGACAAATCAGTGTTTTCTGATTTGAGGACTGTATTTCAAAGACCTTCCAGCCATCTGTGTTCCCTATCACCTTTATCTTCAGCTGGTTCCTCTACCTGTGAGTCTTTGTTTTTCTAAGAAATTTTTGTTAAACTTATTTAAGGAAAATTATTTTTAGACTATTTCATCAGCCTTTCCATAGGATAAGCTCTGACTTTGTTTCACAATGTTTTCGGTAAACTGCTATTTATGCTCACCCAGGTGCAACCCTAGAGAGTTCTCTTGCTTCATCCCTCAACACTGATAGGAAACAAATTGCTAAAATCCTTGACAGGAGTTACACATATCTTACATCTCACCAGCTGAGCAGTTGTACTGAGGTGTTGAGGGAGAAACTGGAGGTCCCTTCCCATCTGATTAACTGCATGCAGAGGGTAGGACTATCATGGGCAGGTGAAAAAGGCCCTGCCCCCTTGAAAACCACAAAACCCATGAGAGAATCAATCAAAATTTTACCCTACAACAAACTCATCCACCTTTCCTTTATTTCCTCTCCTCACATGGCAAAACTGGTATTTTAAAGTCTCCACTCTTCTTGTGCTTGTGTCAAAAAGAGAGAGGTCCAGAGCCCTGCTAGACCTGGCAGAGCTCAATCCCATTCACCCCCTTTATGCCCAGGCTCACTGTTGTTTTGATGCTCCAGCTAAAGAAAATCTCTGCAGATTTTTTTTGTCCTCAGAATGAAGCTTCCCACTGCTAGCCTTGGGAGACATAGAACATCCCAGCTGGGCAAGAGCTCTTTATGGATATTTCTAGTGCTCTGAGGGAGAAGGGGAAAAAAAACAAACTACAGCAAGTTTATGGTAATTGTTTAATGAGGCAAAGCCCTTTAGAATGCAAACACGCTCAACAATACACAAAGAAACAATCAAAAAAAAGTGGTTTATACAGGCTGTTTTATAAGAAGGTAATAAAAGCAATTGTATGGCATACTCAGTTGCATAAACAGGCTCACCATGGAAGGTGTTTGTGTGAGAGCATGACTATGAATACTTAATTGCTTTCTTATTCTTATTTTCAGTACAAAATACTGCAATCAAAACTTAATCTGTGGCTTGATTTTTAAAAATAAAAATGTTATATTCCAGTTTCCATTGTTGCAAATATAATGAAGCATGGTCTTTCTGTTAAACAGTATTTTATTTCTTACCCTTGTAAAGAGGTATAACAGTGATTAATGTCTGCGTCCCTAGCAATATCAAAATGTTTTTCAAATGCAGGATCATTATTCCTCTTCATATGAAAGGCAGAAGACCAAAATGTTTGAAAGGTCATTAATGACCTAACCAGAAGTCATGGAAACCTCTGGTGAGATCCTTCTATGGGTGCTAATCCTGTTTGGACCAAGCCCCAAAAGCAACGCAAATTTCAGATCTATTTTCATTCACACATGTTTTCTGACAAACACGGTCAGTATAAAAGAAGAGTGTAAGGAAATATGAATTTGGGGACCTCAATAAGTTGCAAAATACAAAACTGAAAAATTGTCACCCAATTTCCCTTAACTCTCAGGAGAGTAAATTACTCAGACAAAAGGCTTGTATGAATTGGATCTGGTGTGTCTGGAATGTTGTATTCTGCATCTGGTGATTTCTTTTGAATATGTACTATGATATTTGTGCCTTAGTGACATCTAGACCACAGTAATTTTCAAATACTTAGGCATAAGAATTCATTTTTATTTCCTTTTAACTTTCTGCTTTAGGAAGAAATACAGAACTGTCAAAGACCTGTTGTGCATATAAACTGAGTGATAGGCCTAAAAGATTTAGGGAATAAGACTGTCTTATACAAGAAAATTAATATCTGGATAAAAAAATATATTCATTAATGGTTTGTATTTTAAAGGCTGAGCACTTTGCTGAGAAATAACATAAGGAGTAATACCAGAAAGGCCAGAGTCACTCTCAATGAAAATGGATGGCTCTGGGAAAGAAGTGACAATTTCTGGTTTCAAACTAACAGCAAAGAATAAGTTTAAATTTGATATCTTAATTTACTTTTTTTTTTTAAGAATCTCCTCCTATAATATACAGAAAGAAGTAGCACTTTTTTCAGTTCACTAGGCATATAAGAATTTCTATCCTTGAAATCGATGGACTCCCTCTTAATGCTACAGGGCATCTGCCAAATTGGAAATGTCATTTTTATTTTTACCTTTCTCATCTTTACAGACAGCATAATGCTGTCAGGAATCAAGCAGGTAGCATTAAGTTGCTCCTGCTCACAATTTCATTATGATAGTTTAATATGTTACATTGATGCCCAAAAACTGTTCAAATGAAGAAAATAAGAAATATATTAAAATAAAAAAAATTACTAGGCAGAAGTTCTCAATATGTCCTATCCTAGGGAAAGTAATATTAACACTTTCCATCTCACTACAGTAGAACTCCTGCCTAGGAGAACAAAGGAATCTTAACTAAATTGGTGAATACATTAAACCACCTAAGAAATGCAAGAAGAATGTAGACTTTCCTATAACCAAACCTGATGAACTTGCATGCTGTATTGCAAAATCAGCCTTTCCAGGCACTTATTGTCAGGGTGTCCAAGGGGCCAAGAACTCCCAAACACTGACTGCTGACCTTTCAGTAATGTATCTTACCCTCTTGTTAGACATCAAAATCAAATTGTTTGCTGGTTTCTATCCATCTTTGACAATTAAAGGCAAGCAGCTTAATGATGGTACTCAAGACCAAACCTTTGCTCAGCAAGTAAAGGGTATCTTGTTTTGGATTGCATATTACACAGAAAGATCTAGCACACTAATCTGAAATTTTTGGAAGGACTACAGATCATGCTTTCCTTTTAGTATCTAATTCTTCAGGGATCAGAAAGCAAGTCTACAACCAGAAATCTAAACAAAACAAGAGAATCCACAATACACCAGAGATGCGGAATTGAAAAGATAAGTCATTCAGTCTGATGAGGTAGAGGGGTGTCTGAAATCATACTAAATGCTGTCAACCTTCAAGATCAAGGAGTCAAGCAAGGGCAGACATAAAATTAGTCACAAGGTAACATCTGCTTAAAAGGACATGTGAAGAACCGCCAGGTATTAGCCATGAGGAACTTTCTAAAAAGATGTGTGGTATTAACCAGCCCTCAAAACTAATCAGAGAGGCTTGGTGAGATGCCACCATATTATTATCTGACTGATCCTAAATGTATTTGCTCCAGGATCTGAAAGTAAACTTTATCAATGTATGCTTTTTGTCATAGGGGAGTTGTCAAAATTTTTCTCCTCAATCCCTTGAGAGACATTTCTCATTACAGAAATCAGGCTACAGAGAAGGTAGTCACAGATAAACCATATGCTGCTTTTTAGACACTCTCCTGCTTTGGTTTCCCATTTTCTAATAGGAAGCTCTCTGCACTGGGAGCTCAGATGTGTGATAGTAAATGTGCTACCACACAGGTGGGTTCATCCTCCATCAGGATATCCATCTAAGCCACTTAATAATGGTCCATGATTACCTTGGAGAGGCCTCCATCTCTTCACCACCCTCACAGCAATGCCTCCCAGTGGCACCTCCGCCACCACAGCAGCCTTCCTGTGTGCTGTGGAGACAGGACAGAGAAAAATGCAAGTGACTGCCACATGTGAGCACACTGAGCAGGTTATGGGCTGCAGGCAGCAGCCCAGTGTGGTGCTGCATGTTCATTAAGGGCCTTGAAATAGCAGGAATCAAAATAGAGATGCCAACAGACACAGCTTGGCTTGTTTTGCATTGCTGGTTCCGAGTGTTAGATCGTAGATGAGATATCACTCTCTGGGTGTGAACCTGCAGTCAAACCAGGTTGCCTGGTTTGGCTCCATGTGATGTAACACATTAGGGACCGTATCCCAGCCACATGTGAGATCTCTCAACCTTACTGACAGTCTGCACCCATAACAAGGGCTTTAAAAGCATTGTGATTCAAGTCTTTGGGAAGTGTAAATGGGTGCAGTAGCTATGGTCAAAATCCCATTTCCAACAGCTCTTCTCTTTTCCTCTGTTTTTATCACACTTGCATTGGTAAAGTTGCTTACTGAAGAAAAAAAAAAAAAAAGCTCATTTCCTTAGAAGAAATGTTGCCCATGAGCAGCTTACATCATATGTTATCTGGAAGCTGTTCTGTGAAACATCGTAATAATTGCTTTTCCTGGACTGAGACACTTATTAGTAGCAGCTAAAGTTAACAGATTGGAAGATTGCCTGAAGATGATGGATGGGTTTTCTCAGATAGTAGATTTCTGGTCATTTTCCATGGCAGCTGTAAATTAAAAAATAATATAAAGTTAAGCAGTGTTAGGATAGAAGTCACAAATACTACACAGCTACTGACTTGATCATTAATCATCCTAAATTAATGTTAAAGTGTTACTATGATGAGCCAAACTTTGCCCTGGGCTGTATGCAGAAGTTACTCATTGATTGCAAAAAAGAAATTGCACATGTATGTGAACACTGAATTCAGCCAACAGCTTGTTTGGTTTGCTGGAGTTTTTTAATTACTGCTTGAGGGAGATGGAGATGAGGAATCCCCTTTCATAACTGTGATCTGGAAGAAAATTATCAAGAGTCATCCTCTGATGTGCAGTCAATACTCCAGGTTATTGCAACAATATATCTGTGTATTTTTAAAGCTGAAGACCATTAATTCACTCTAGAATTCAGGAGTAATTTGATCTGTCTGATGGTCACTTTTAAGGTTGCTGCAATCAAAAAATAATTTTTTTTTTTAGGCAGAATGAAGATTTTTGTCCACAACTGAAATTCCTTCTAAGCTAAACAACAATTTTTTGTAGACTTTGTCCTAATTTACCCTGGCATTTTTGATGAAGTCAAGTGTCTTCTTCAGATGATTAGCTAGAGAGGAGGTGCCAGAGACACGTGTGTTGAAAAAAACTCAAACCACAACAATCAAATCTGATGTAAATGAACAGGTCTTGTGCTCAGACACACCATAATGATTCCTTACCTCTGCAGAATCTGGAGGTCAGAAAACCTGTAATGTCCATGGCAAGGTCATGGAGATACACAGACCTTTGCCTTGTGAGCATCTAACTCCCCTCAGCCCCTATTGCACTGTTATACTAATTGCTTAGGCATGTTTATGTTACGCATGCTGTTAATATTAATGTATATTAGCTATAGGACATTACTTAGTCTCATATTTAATGCCTTTCAGTTCTTAGGTACAAATGCTCCACAGTAGTTGCATTGGAAACAATTTAACTTGAATGCCAACCACAGAATATTGTTAGCAGCAGGTTTTCTCAGGGTGATTTACTTCTGTTTATCCACAAGGTTTGGTAATAAATACATATATTTTGGGGCCCCAGGTACATTAAACATACTCAATAGTCAGAGCTTGTAGAAGCTAATTTCTGTGTCATTGCATTATAGCTAAATTGGTTGCGCACGTCTCATTCAATTATGCAACTTGAAGAATACCAACAACACAGATTCCTGATTTCAATAGTGCATATGCTTGTTTTAGCACTTACAATGGATCAGCTTTTAGCAGGAGACACTAAAATCATCATGCTTTGAATTTCAGAGTCACAATTTCAAATGTAATACTGTCTTTGTGTGTTTGTCATTAATGGCTTTTCTCTTTCTGCTTTCTGGATATATACTATAATATTCAGCACAAATAAAAGTGAAGACTGAAAGGTAACTCACAATGGATATTTGCAGTTAAGCTTTTACACCATCAAATTATTTACTTATATCAGCTTAGTTAAGTAGTTATTCAGTCAGTAAAAAAAGGTCCTCAAGAGCCAAATAAAGAATTTGCTTTTAAATCCTGAGGTACAGAAAGTGCCAGGTCAAGTCTATCAAGTCTCTTCAATGGACTTCTTTACTGGTAATTATTCTACATGGAAGGCACTCTGCTAGTATAGTAGTACAGAAGGAACAAGGAGAAAGGAGGAGAAAGGAGAAAGGAGAAAGGAGAAAGGAGAAAGGAGAAAGGAGAAAGGAGAAAGGAGAAAGGAGGAGTTAAATACATATCCACAGGAATTTACATACTATTATGATTCTAGTATTTTATAATAGCAATAAAACATATCAAATGGATTATAAACTGACAGATCTCAAAAAAAAAATAGGCATCAGCTGGAATTTGTAGTTGAATGGATGTTCCCAATGTTCTTTTGAGTTCTGTACAAGGCTTCATGTTCTTTAATAACTTCACCAATGGTCTTGTAAACATATCCCTAAATACAATCTCTGAATGACATGAGTTTGGCAGATGATGAAAACTGGGCAGTCAATAGAAACCAGGAATGGTTAAGGAAAGAACCACAAAGTTATTCAAACAAGAATTCCTTGCAATAAACAAAAATCAAACTAAAAAAATAAATAATTCCATGTTGATTTTATCAGGAGGAAAATGGGAAGATGTTAGTTATCCACAGGAGAGATTCACAGCAGGGAAATACCAAGTTAAAAAGGAGTCCTCCATCTAGCAGGAGCACCAAGGGCTGGAAACTTAAGCCAGACAGACTGAAAGTAAGGTGTCTTTCTAAGAATAAAGGTGATTATGAGCTGGAGAAAAAACTACCAGATATGTTTTATGAACTCTTAAGGCCAAGAGGAATATATGCTTTTGCCAAAACTAGATTTTTTTTTTTACTATATGTAACAGAGGAAGAGATAGTGGAGATATAAACAAATTGATCATACTTTATTAGTATAAATATATGCAAATTTAACCAGAGCCAACATTTTCTAATCTGCCTGTAGTATGTCTCTTTAAGAAAATTACCTTTTAAGAACTGTCTTCTAAAGAGATGGATTATCATTGTTTAATCTTAAGAGATATTATGAAATAAAAAGCTTATCAAACATTTTAGTACAGTTTAAAAAGTTTAGTACAGTGTAAAATACAACTTGTCTGGCAACATTGCAAGTTGCTGGAAAGAGCAGCCTTTATTTTTTAGATACAAACCTGAGGTAAAATACAGTGAAGAAATGGACTTCATCTCAATTACTCAAATCTTAATAAATTAATCAGGAAAATACTGCTACCATATATGCTTTGAAATACATGTGTGCCCCAGTGCTATTTTAAAAAAAATTACAATCATAATATATTTTCAGATACTTTCTGCTTCTATCAAATAACAATTAATAGCTGCTAGCATGCTTCCTTTTTCCATTTTGTAACATGTACATCTTCCAGAAACTTGCTAGGCCAGTGACATTAATGAAAACAGAGAGTAAATCCATTCAAAACAATGTGAGTAAAAGCAGAATCTGTCTGTTTGCTTTTGCATGGTTAGAACAAAAAGCTCCATTGCTGCTTTTACAGCTAAAGAGCATTTTATAATGAGGTCTGAAATTTTTGGGAAATTTGGATTACAATGTTGGTTTAACATCAGAGAGTCCATTGTTTAGATGTAGGATCACTGTGATGTCCGGTCTCTGAAAACTTTAGTTTTGCTTTTGATATTAAAAAGACCACTGAAATAATCCACAAAGAGTTTGGGCCTCAGGAAAGAAGTCTCAAAAACAAACAGCGTTAAAGATTGGTAAGACCTGATTATGTGGCTGACAATTACATGTGATAACAATTAAAATTATCTGATTCCAACCACATGGCATCTTAATACAGCAGATCTCCAAGTAAATAACATGTCACTTAATAGGTTTTGATTGATGTTGTCAGCAGCCTTTTGAATGTTACAGATACCTTCCCATCAATGCCTTAGAAACCAGCAGAGACTGCTGACCTCAACCTAACCCAAAATTATTTGCATGTACCTAAATACCCTAGTTCTAACTGCTTGGTAACCTAAAATTCTTCTTTTACTAGACAGATACTTGTACATGGTGTCCATCTCCTTCCTTCCAGTTTTAAATAACTTGGCTAATATATGCATTCGTGGTTTTAATGAAAACCCTAGATGCTTTCTGAGAGGCCTTTCAGTTACCTGCCAGTACAGATCTGGGAACATATGTCTGATTGCAAGCCAGCTGAAGCACTCCAAACGATTTCTGAAGTCCATGGCTGGGCTGGCACAGGAGACCTAACCAGGGAGAACACGGAGCTGCCAAGGAGCTGCCACTGAGCAGCGTGAGGTTACTTTGCTGCCAACTTTAATTTGTGTTTAAAAAAATAGGGATGAGTTAATGATTGCTAAACCAACAAATCATCCTCCTATTGGAGGAGCCCCAGAGGACATCCTGTCTCCAGCGGTGATGTACCCAGTAAGAAAACACATTGTCACATTGCCTAGAATGGGCATACAAAAAGCAGAGGGGATCGGAGCAGGAATTTGGAGTATTTTCATGGTGCCAAGTCTCCACACATGTTCTTGGCTTAGCCTCATGCTCCTTATTTTCCTCTAGACCAGCCCAAGAGCTACTCTTCAGATCTGTGATGCAAGCTTTATTGTTTCCTTCTGTATACTGTTAAGTGGGAAGTGAAACAAAATGTCTTAAAAATGAATTGAGGAATACCATACATTTGTTAGAAGGACAGTTTTTGCTACCATTGTTGTTTTTAAAAAACAACTTTTTCTACTTTGGCATCTAAATCAGGATTTCAACATCATAGCTGAAAAAGCAGCTGTCTTTTCTAACCAGGGTTGCCACGAACACAGCTCTCCCACTGTAGGATATAGAGTCAGCAGCTCATTGAGAATGCAGCTTTAGTTGAGATATTGCAACTGTTTAGAAGGTGTTGCTGAAGGCAAGCAAAAACCTTGTGAGTTATTCACATCAGTTTCACTGGTCTGACAGAGCATGTTATCCAGCCACAATGCAAGGTCCTGCCTGTGATATAAATATATTTGGCTTTTAACCAATATGTTGTCATTTTCCCCATTCTTTATACCAGATCAGACTAATGAGAAAGAAAAATATGAAGCAACAAAATTCATGAGCAGACAACGTAACCAGCAGTGTTGACACCTCAGTCATAAACGTGTTTCTGTCCTGAGTCACAGTTCTACAGGTGAGGCACAGCTTTCTCTAAATGGCCTTCCCAGTAAGCAACATTCATTTGACTGCACAATGGATGTCATGTTAATGAAAAGGAAATATATCTCGTTCCCAACAATAAAAAGAGCAGAATTATATACATGGTTCATGTTAAATTAGAATCACATATTTCTTCCCCGCAAGGAAAATTACATTTGCTGTAGCTATGCACCAAAACTGTTAGCACCATGGGAGAGCAGGTTCCCAGAAGAGTGAAGCACCTGCTCATTGAAGTATACCAAATATATGTCTGAAAACTCTCCTTATTCACACACCTCTAAACCTTCAACACTTATCAGACAACCACATTCCTTTTCCTGAACTCCAGAGGATGCTCCAAAAAACCAAGTCACGTGATGCTTAGAGTTTACAGAGAAAATATCTCAATGTTGTGCAAGAATGCATCAGATAAAATGACCAAATCATCAAAGAACCATTTGATAGAGTGATGAATAGAGTATATAAACAGCCAAACTGTACAAAACCAGAGTAGACGTGCATCTGTAAAGATGTAGCCATAGTAATTTTTGCTGAAGAACAGTATGACAGAGGGAGTTCATCTGGTATGTGCTTTCCACCCCTGATGTTCAAGACTATACACTCAGAAGCTACTTTACAAATATAACATTTGTGCAGCTGAACCATGAGCAGAGGTGATTAGCATGGGAGCAGGACCTCTAATTTTCTTCATTCAGAGCATAATACAAAGGGACTTTGATCTTTAGGGGGATCTCTACAACAGTGCAAACTAATAATGATGTTAACACAACAGTAATAATAGGTACAGATAGCAATGCTGAACCTTAAACATGTATCCATTATAAACACATAAATATTCAGTTGTCTACTGTAAGAGCACAGGTCATATACTCTAGCTTCATTTCCCTCCTACACATCCAAAAGTAGGTAGAAAAAATATTGAAATATATTTATTTGTTGGTAAACAGTATTTTTCAAATTGGCATGGCAATAATTTGGAGAATCAGGCTGCTAATGGGAATCTGAGAATGCATATAAGATTAGAACCAAACAATATTTGAGCTGTAGAAGAATCTCCAGAAATAACCAAAACAGCAGAAACTTTATTTTAAAGCTGTACAGGGCAGGTTGTGAAAAATCTAATTTCCCTGCAATATTTCGAAAAAAGTAGTGTCTACCTAAAATCAGCTGAGGGGCTCAGATTATTATTCTACTGATTCTATAGATGACTTTCTGGTTTTGCATGAGGTCTTTTATTTGTTTGGGTTTTTTTCATGTTTGAGGGGTTTGATTTGTCTGGTTGTTTTTTGGTTTTTGTAGATTTTTTAGAATAAAGGAGAAATTACCAACCTATAGCCTCCGGGCCAGCTTCCAGAGGCCAGAATAGCTTATCTAACCAATAGCTATATTTTGCTCTCCTGTCCTTTACTGAGGCCTTCAATCAAAGGCACAAGATTAATTGGAAGCTGTTAAATTGACAAAAAAAGTGGTTAGAAACTTGCATTTCTTTTGCCCAAGGCTCTTTGGCCTCTACACCATTACAAACCAGGAATTACATCCATCCTAACTGGGGCACGTCTCCACCACATGGCGATGTAAAAGCCCTGTGAGTGAACCTCAGCCTTGTTACAGGCACTACTTGAACTCCTCATCTGTTACCAAAACAAGCATTTTCTGAAGAAAGAACTTGTACTTTAATTTTTTAGTGGATATGCCACTCATTGAGTTAGAGGTTAAATCACAATCTTCCAAACCAAAAGGCTAAGATTGACACAAGCAATGTGGACTGTGTATTTATGGAATACAAAACAATTATTTGTTTATTTAAAAACACAACAATTATTTGTTGCCAGATCTAATGTACCAGAACAAGGCTTTGGATATACATATCAACAGTCTAGCATTTTCTTGAAGTTGTGTGTAGTGCTTTTCTGTCACACTGTTTCATCCATGACATCTGTATTTCAGGTGCATGCAGAAAAAAAGCATCCCTGCCTTGGGAAATAACATGCCAAGAACAGAAGGACTACAGGCATCATAGCTGGAGAACAGGTAGACTGAATAGTGGCCTGGTGAAAGAATTCAGAGACACTGCATAACGCCAGTGGGACTGCATAGGAGAAGCCAAGTATCTCTATTATTTTCTGCTAAAAGGGAATCAGTTGAACTCCAAAGTGACTGAAAAGTGATGAGCTAGTGCTTCAGAGAGGGGTTGAAAACAGGGAGGTGGGGCTGTTTGCATAGTTTTGTTTGGCATGGTTTCATTGTTCACAAAAATAAGGGAAAAAAACAATATTCCAAAACTCTTTCTGGGCAGTTAATAATTATTTTTCTCCCTTGGATTACAACACACATAAATATGAACAACCCTTTTGGCTATGTTGGCCTGGAGCCCTGCTCAGGCTTTCCATGTGGAGTTCCTAAGGAGCTGTCCTACTTGATGCATGTTGAAAGCCTCTCCCCTTAGAAATGCATTGGGCTGGTGCCTTGAAGGGACATTTGAAACCTGCCTATGCTGCTTTGCTTTTTTTTGGTGTTCTTGTTGTCAGGCTCATCATGCTGAGTCATATCTACATCTAGATCATAATGATTATCCTGAAATGTCAGCAGCTGCTCTTTTCACCCCCATATGGTGCCAGATTTAGGATGAGGTTTCCCTAATGCATAAACAATGACTATAATTGTGGTTTTTGACAACCAAGGTATTGCAGAGATGTTATTCTGTTGTAAAAAACCTGCATTTCCACAGTGGTAATGAAGGGGTGGGTCATAATGGCCCATATGTTTCTTTGTATTTCTCTCCAAAGAAAGCCTATGTCATAAGTGAATCCCTGTCAGCATGGCTTTTGGCCATCAGATGTTGTTTGACAAGGGAAATATCTAAAAGCTTTAACAGCTAATAGCTTCCTAAATGCAAGAGCATTATTTTCCTAATTCCAGAGATGGTTGTTTGATAGACAAAAAACTGGCTTTAACCTCTATTCTCTTAATTCAGATGTGATTTCCTTGCAGTCTGCAGATAGTCTTATCCCTTAGTGTTGCTTAAAGTTGCAAGCTCTCTTTAAAAGCCAGCTAAAAAAAGGCTGAGGTATCAGAGAAATAAAAAAGAGTACAAACAAACAAACAAAAACCCTAGCAGAACTTTACAAAAGAAATGAAGAAAACAAAGCTCTATCTCTTCTTTCATTTATGGATGTACATCAAAAGTATTTCCGCTATCTATTATCTGTGGAGACAGAAGATAGTAGAATTGTCAGTGAGAGAGGAATTTAGTCCCAGCACGTCCATTCTGTATTTTAGTGCCAAATAAAGCAATACAGAGATAAATGAAAGATAAGCAAGTAGAAAATCCTGTGAGGGCAAAGACAGGGTGAACATGATGTACTATTGTTCAAGACTGGGAGAAGAAGCATTGAAGCTGATGGAAGTAACCACCACCCTTCATCTGAGATAACAGAGCTAAGTAGTTCTTTGATGAGGTAATACAGGTTTCTGAGACAAGGCAAAAGTACACCCTAAATCTTGAATAATGTAGGCAGATGGTACTGATGGTTATTGCTTTGGGTAAGGGTGTATTTGTGTGTATGTATGTACAAGAAAACAAGGTAGCTGAAACGGAAGGCGAAATAAGTTCTAAACAGAGCAGCTAGAAGGAAAGTATCTGGGCATAAAGCCTAAAGGGAGAACATATTTAGAATACTGAACACAAAAAAAATGTGACGCTGTAAGCAAAGATACTGTCTTTGGTGGTTTTGATTACATCTGCAGGCTGAGAAAGGGAAGTTGGCTGAGAAAGTTGGAAGTTCTTTGTAAATAGGTAGAACTGAAGCCAAGAAAGGGCCTGACTCCATCAATGGTTTCACTTCCTAACCAGAAGAAGCTCTGATGTGTGACCATCTGTGTCAAAGGAAGAAATATCATAGGTAATGAAGCAGACTAAAGGAAAGACTACAGACAAACCTATGGTGTCCTGAGAAAGTTATAATGAATTAAATCTTCTTGTAATGAAACAAATTCATATGTACAGAAATTATTGCAAATACAAAATGCTTTAACAGATAGAAGCACTGGGACTCCATTTTTAACTTAAAGTTGATCCCACAAAGCTTAAATGAGCCCTCAAAAACTAGACTGAGAAGATGCTATTGCTCTGCAGGCAGAGAGGTTCAGGTTCAGTGAGACAAAAGTGGGAAGCAAGATCCAGGGCAGTGTTCCTCTGTGAGAACAAAGTCCCTCCAGGCTCCTGTATAAGTGCTTCACCCTCATACTCAAAGCTGGCTTATACAGCTAAGCCCTAATTAGGTGCTTAAGGTCCCATCCACTCCTTCCCCTGAAATAATCAATGAGACCAGATGTCATGTACCAAATGCTACATAAAATGGCAGAGAGAGGTGTACCATTCTGCTGTTTTCAACCCTGCCTGCACCAGCCTTCCTGAAGAAGCCAAGGAGATGAAAATCAGTTGGAGAGATGAGCACAGAAATTACCTCTGCAGTAACCTGAAGTGTACCTGCTCTGTTCTTCCATGCCACCAAGCAGTCCACATCACCCTCCTAAAGAGCAGATAATTTGGATCTCCAGCACTAAACTATACTGCACTTCGACAGGGGTAACTGAGAAACAAAATTGGTCTGATTGGAAGCTATTCTAATCCTTCACAAACTAGGTACAGAACAAAAATTTTAGGATGGCAAACAACCGGTTACAGTTGAAATTTTTACACATCTTTACTTTCTCTCCACTTGGATGATACCTATCTACCTAGATTTAGATAACAATTTGGCATCTAGGATAAAGCAATTGCCTATGCCTTCTTTTTAGTTATAGAGGCAGATGTTCACTTCCAGAAACATATCACCATACCCTAACAGAGAATTTAAAGTTAGACATCTCTGAAAAATAGTACAAGATATCTTTTTCTGTTGACTGAAGTGGGAACCTATACAGCTAGTCAGTCTGGACACACTACTTTGGGACAGTAGCAGACAAGGCCTACACAAGTTTTTGGGCCCTGATATACTTCAAAATCTTTGTCAAGGGCATCTGTGGTTACTTGTGTAACCTTTCTTGGGTGTGTCAAAAAAGACACTGTCAAATGCAGTAAACCCATGAGAACAGGAGATCCAACAAGAGCTCTCAGAGAAGAGAGCCATTAAGATAGGCTGCTTGGGTGAGTATGAGGAACGAACCTCACATGGCTTGTTTGCATGAAGGAGCACTTGTCATTCAGTATTCCTCTCTCATAAAAAGTTGTGTGCAGTGGGAAGAAACAAGAGCACTTGTGCTGTCTCAAAAAGGTGTGGCTTGTTCAGGTTAGACTTCAGAGCCACAGCTGTCTGAATGAGGACTTGTAAGAGATGAGAGCATTTTGATCTGTCTGCCACTCTGTAAAGGATAATAGGCAGTTGTTTTATTATTCCTTCAGTGTAATGTACAAGGATGATTTGTAATGAGGCAGAATCTAGGATAAATAGCTCTTGCTATAATACTTTGCCTTCATATATCTCAAGAGCTAATCTGTGGTGGGTATGCTTGCTGTAAATCAGAGGCTATGTCTTTGCATTTGGAAGTCACTATTATTATGTTAAAGGGTGTATCCTTTCATAGTTCAAGTATGGCATTTGGAAAGAAGTAATTTCACCTCAGAGTGGAAGCTTCCCTGGGGCACAGATCTTCAACAGTGAAATTTTGTGTGTGTACTTTGACAAACGCATGCCCAGTGGGCATATGCCAAATTATGCCTTTGAAGCCATGGAAGCCTTGCTGTGGGAACCTAGAACTTTGAAGAATTTCTCAAGGGAGAGGAAGCAAAGCCAGCTGGACTCATTTTCTATAGACAGAAATTTAATTGTTAGCTAGCAGCTACTACATTAGAAGAGAAATCGTCTCAGAGACCTGGAACATGTTGGTGTGAACCCTTGTTAGAAGAGTTGGGAGACAGCTTGACTGTGACCCATCCAGATTCCTCTCTTTGCACATTCTTTTAAACTTCAGTATTTACTGTCATGGTAAGATGTGATCATAATTATAAGAACCAACACAACATCGTCATTACTCAGCACCTAAGAACAAACTGTAAATACTCTGCTTTTGTCTGTAAACCAGTTGAAAAAAATAACAATTTCTTTGAAACTAGTAAATATCAATTCAGCAGACTTACAGACATGAAATTAACTTGATACAGTAAAATTTATGTACAGCCTTGTCTGCAAGAAGTGGTTTCTTTTCACAACCCAGTGACTTCATCTTTCTTATTCTCTGAGACACAACCTTGCAGCTCCTGAGGAGCAGGTTCCTCTTTGTGGTAGCAGATACCTGTCTTCTTCTGTGAGCTCTTTTTTGACTTCATCCTTCTTCAGTACTCTCAAGTAGGTCCTATGTCATCCTTAACTCACACAAATGCACATCATTTTGCCTGACCAACAAAAGACAAAACTGCTGTAAAATACTCTGTAAAATACTGCCCCAAGAATGGGAAGTGTGTGTGTGTGTGTGTGTGTGTGTGTGTGTGTGTGTGTGTGTGTGTGGTATAAAATGGTAATTCATATGTTACTGTACTATTAAGATAATGTTTCTCTACCAAAATAAATATAAATAAAGCACTTCAGATAATAATTAAAAACCTTACTGAGGGAAATTGCCTAGTGAAAGGAGGCTCAGGATATACTTTTATCACTACTCTGAGGTTAGTGCTAATTAGCAGACAACAAAGCCTATGAATTTCAGAGGTTAATTGCTGCCTTCTGCTTTTCTCCACTGACAGGTGAGCACACCTCTCCCTCCGTTAATCTTGTGATTTATTTGTACTTATATGCAGACCTCTGATAAGAACAGTCCATCACTATGTTAGGCTCTGTACCAACATGGAGTGCGAACATTTCCCACTATGCAATTTACAATCTGGACAGAGAAAGAAGAGGGAGGTAAAACCTCCTCCCTTTTTACATGAGGAACAAATACTGTGATTCATAAAGACATTTAGGTGCTTTGCTGATTGGGATCTGATTGGTCAGACTC